GAGAGAGAGAGAGAGAGAGAGAGAGAGAGAGAGAGAGAGAGAGAGAAGTTGTGGGGTGTCCTTACAGTGCTTTTGTGGGTTGTCCTCTTGTGGTATTGTGACTGCAATGTCTCACAGTTTGGAAGGGGTGACAATGGTCGACTTGGGTATGGATCGATGCAGACTACTGGGAACCCTCATGAAGTGGTCCCCGGGCTTTGCGAGCAAAGAGACAGTAAACATTATGACAATGGCGTGCCTGCACGTGGAACAAAAAATTGTTCTTCCTCAGATTGGAAGGTAACACAGATCGCAGCGGGAGGCCGTCACAGTTTGGTGCTCGCAGTTCGTCACACTCCTCATGGCGAGATCAATGGAACCAGGGAGTTCTCACCAAGTGCGAATGGGGTAAGCTATAACGTTCGGCAGGGTAGGCGTAGTAAAGGCAGTGATGAATTAGTAGGGGTTGTAGGCGGTTATCAGGCTAGCCAGGACAGTCCTGAACGTGGAGAGGGAAAGAAAGAGGGGGAAGATCCCACACGAGATGGTGGGCAGAGTTGCAACGGGTGTTCAGTAGCTTCGATGGATGGGAATGGGGTCGAGAAAACGGGCAACAGACCAAGCTTCAATGATTGGGTCCCGACAGTGGGCCCAGGGGCTCGTGGTGACATGATTGGGATGCCGGGTACCGTTTGTGAAGGTGCAATTTACGTAGAACATGATGCCAATGGCAAGACATCAGGAGATACTGTACATGGTGTGGAGCAACTGAGACTGAACGAGGTGATTGAAAGGTGATCGCATCGCTGTCCATTGTTATCGTTGAATACTTCCATCCACCCATTGCTACTGAGCGTGTCGAAGGACATGTAGCGAACAGCTAGGAGGTATCCAGGCTGCCACAGTTTGCCGAGTTGGCGGGCGGGCTGGTGAACGCCGCAGATTGAAATCTGCCGGGCATAACGAGTGGCAGGCGTGGGGGAACAGGTCAATGCCGCAGATGGACGTCTGCCGGGCATTACGAGTGGCGGGCCCGGGAACAGGTCGTCACACGGACTCGTCAGGACCTTTTGGAAACATGGGGAGCCTTTTGTCCTCATGCTGTATGCAGCGGGCTTGCTGACGAAAGATGGAGATGGAAATCTGCAGGGCCCGAGTGGCAGGTGTGCGATCAGGTCGTCAGGATGTTTTTGAAACTGGGGTGCCTTTTGCGAGGACGCATGTACAAACGGTGTCGAGCAACTGAGAGCCTGTTGGGCCGGTAACAGAGGTCGTCGTGGAGGAGAAGGATTCTATTCTGAGGAGAGGAGGATATTGAAAAGGTGAGCAGCCGCCGCTGAATACGCCCACAGTAGTTTGAGTGAGTCGAAAGGAAATGTAACGGACACAGATGAATGTAGTTGAATACCCCCGTCCATGGTAAGCGAGCGAGTCGGACTGAAATGCAACGGATGTTGACGGATGTAGATTTGATTTGCTGCAGAGGGTAGCAAGATGTCAGAGTGGTGAATGCAACAGATGGTAGTGTGCCGGCGCCGAATGGTAGAGGCGAATGATCGGAGGTCATCAAGATCGTCACGAAGAGGTGGGTACGGCCATGACATGACCTGTGGAGTATGACATGTGGCCCGCAGGCTGTCGCTGCAAAGGAAGGAAGTCTGGGCAATGAGCGCAAACGCCGCGAAGCCGTTTATGGGGCAGGTGGGTTAGTCATGGTGTCTGAATTAGCCCCCTTTTAAACCACCATGAGATGAGGTGGCTTTTTTTTCATGGCGACGGAAGATAAACGGTTGGAAGGCTTTTGCTGCTTCTGGAGCATCAGGTAAAGCACAGAAATGTGTGAAAATGCTTTGCTTTGCGTTGAAGGCGAAGAAAGATTGAACTGAAGACCATCTGGAGTGCGGAAAGGTTTTGCTTCCGATCGTGATGATCGGAGCGCCAAGTCTCCGAAGGCCTGGAATTGAGCTAAGAAACTTTCGGAGTGTGCTGTAGTGGGTGTTATAGAACGACTTGTATGCGCGCTGCACAAAAGATGCACAAAAGAGATACATGTTTTGTGTTCACCACAGGATCGCATATCCATGACCAAAGCTGTCTGCAGAAGTCTGTCTGTGGTACATGAAATGCACACATGGCGGAGAGCCGCGAAGTCTTGGATGCCTTTCCAGTCCATGGTGCCAGCGTCTTCGTTCCTGTGTGCGGACAAAGATGCCTTGACTATTCGCCGGATTGCGCGTTATGGGCCCCGCACCACTACACAAGATTCTTCATGAATCTGGACAGGTCCACTGACAATGTGCATCTGGACTGATCCGGCATTTGGACCAAAGAGGGACCATTGCTGGCTCCAGAAACTTTCACAAGCTTGTGCGATGGAGCGAGTCCCTATGTGTGGAGGTCATGCAGTGTGTCGCACAACGCAAGCCGTTGCTGTGTGATTGGTGGCAGAGTGTATCCAAGAATGGATTGCTTGCCGTTTGCAGCTGGTAATGTGTTTTTCATCGCAAGCCGTTTACTTATTGGCTATGAATACCAGGTCTTCATCAATGGACTTTGCCCAAGACTTGGGCATTCTTCGTTCTCGTCTGCAGCGGCTCGGTCGATCAATGGTATATGCGTTTTGAAAGTTGGCCCTTGCTTATCCGGTGAGAGACTAGAATTGCGGAGGGGTGGAGCTCTGGTGGTAATAAGACCCCTCCAGTCCTTGTCACCCCAGAGCAGTTTTTCCGAAATGCCCCTCTCTGTGCCGTAGTATAGGAACATACATCCTCCTTTTCTTCTCCAGACGAACATGCTAAATGTAAATAACCTTTCATTAGTACGATAAACGTTTTTTAATAAAAAACGTTTCCGGTGTTGTAATAGATTGGATCACTGGTACCATAGAGTCTTGACACTTGTAATGGAACAGGAATCTGTCCATAAGATCAGT